ATTCGTTACTCTAAGTTAGAAAGCTGACCAGTTCTAAAATTTTTCGCATTTGTACTTCGTGTATTATCTTGAGCCATTACCCTGAGGATCCATATTTAACGGCCTAAACGACCTCTTTAACCTTCCTCACAATCAGCCGCTTAGCACGAACTACAACTAGTCTAGGAGCCGTGTGCGCGTTCTCAAGCTATGGCCAGAAACCTAAATGATGAAGTTGAGAACTTCTTTGCCGTATGTGAATGCCTTAATGTTGTTGACAGCATCTGTAGGAAGTTGATGCTATCACGGTTACTGATGGCAAAGACCAAGATGTCGGTAAACCTGTCGTCCATTCGTTTTGTTCAAGTGTTGCAATTTTTATGAAGTTGGCTAGTTTTAAAGTTGTAGGTAAAAATGTTAGTACTTTGTAACACAGTGCTACATCTATTCTATCTTTGAATTGTATCTACGGTCACATAAACTAGTTGATATCTGCTAACATGTTGCCACGCCCTCTGTCACCCCCTTTGAAGGCTGTGGATGCTTTGATTATAGCTCCAAGGACCAATTGGATTGTCCAAGTCGATTCAAAATCAAATCTCCCCTTTTATCATAACTTTGTGACTAAAGAGACGACGTGGGACCTTCCAGATGAGTATCAGTCCTACCTTGACGCCTACAAGACATATCTTCAGCATAAAAATGACCAATCAGTGGTGAAGGAGGAGGAGAAGAAGGAAAGTCCAGTTCTCATACTACCCGAAGGAAATGCCCGAAAACGGCGTCGCATTAAACGCGCCTTCATGCGTGCAAATGCAGGAGGGGCGAACCTTTCAGATGCACCTGTGGAATTTCTTTCGGAGTACATCGCATATAGCGACTCTTCCTCGGAAGATGAGTCATTAGATTCAAAAAGGTCTTCGCAAACACCAACCATCAACGAACCTATGGAAGTGATAAACGAGACCCCGGAATCATCAAAAGTGTTCATCGGTCCTCAACTGCCTTCATCATCGCCAGAGTGTGAGGTCATGTCTTCAAGCCCTGATGAATTGGGTAAAATGCTCCTGAACAAGTTTGCTATCGTTTGCACCGATTCCGACAAGCTCTCGCGTCTTCAAGTTGTGCGTATCCAATTCACTGTGAGTTTGTAGTAAATGACATACTCCTTAATTTCTAGAGCTATAAGTCGTTGAACTTTAATTTTTTAGACGCGATTCGAGGATTGGAAGGCCGGACATCTTTCGGACGCCCGGTACAAGGAAAAGCTAGAAGAAGTTAGTAATTTCCTACGTGAATATGAACAAGGCATGCAACTTAAAACGTCGAGACAATGCTCCAGCACAATGACTTCACCTCCAATTTACCGAAGCGAATCTGCCATACATGATCAAGTAAAGGAGGTACTCATTACTTTCATCACCGCACCAATGCTCATATTTCCGTTTTGTTCAGAAAAGCATGAGAACCACACCACTCGATGTGGGTGAAAATAGGTGTGCATCAAACAGCTCGAATACACCGCAGTGCCCTGAAGTAATGTGGGACAAAATTCTAACTCATTTCCCTCATTCCAGAATGACATACAGATACCTTACCTAAATCCCGACAATAGTTTATCAGTGCAACCGCGAGGAACAAAACTAGAGCAAAAGTACTCGACAAAGGTAAAGAATTATTCTTGTATCAAATTTCAACTTCTTTAAAGGATATAGGCCTAGATCTTCTGGAAGGAGATAGAGCTGTACCAAAATCGCCAGGAAAGCGGAGTGAGACGCAAGAAGACTTGTAAATTAATTTGTGTTTATTCAGTTTTGATACTGAAATCTCATTTTGTACAAAACGCTTCAATTTTATGTTCCTGAAGGCGGATTTGATTGCTGATAACACATATGACGCAAATATTCTGTGAAAGCAGGCACCACCAGCGTTAGATTGATACGACCTAAGTGTTCAGTGACGAGCTATTGCTTAACAGCGAGGCTCATAACTGAAGCACTTGGTG